ACCCTGATTCACCAGCTTCCACAACCTAATGAGTCAACAACCAGATCTGATGTGAGTGAGAAGAATCCTCCAGATTGACATCTGAACTGTGGATTTCAGACTTGAACTGTGTGAATTCACAACTGTGTGAACCGTTTCTTTGATGGCCCATACATTCTGCAAGACGTTGCAGTGAATTTCAGGGTCCTGGGATGTGAGGGATCTCACTCCCATCAAGGAAGAAGAGCCAGGAATGCAGCGTGGCCTTTGGACCCTGAGACCTCTGAACATTGAACCTCTTCAAGTCAGGGACAGATAACCGTGACACTGAAGGAGAGGAGAAGCAGCAGAACCAAGAGCCAGAACACCAGACAGGGCAGTGGGCTTCCCAACACATTGAGCATGTAAAGCTGAGTGCCTTTGGAAAGGAGGCTAACTTGGGGAACGGCGGTGCCTCCAGGCAATTAATTGGGGAGCTGGGTTTGCTGACCCACAGAGCTAGAGCTGAGTGCCTTTGGGCAGAGGCTTAAAGTAGAATGTCCTTGGGCATAGCAGCAGCCCTAAAAGAGCTACATTGTCCAAGCAGGGCAGAGACCAAGGAACTGTATGATGGAGAGACCAAAGACTGGAGAGAGGCCTGCTTGTGGGCACAACTGAGAAAAGGTCCTGACAGCAAGTCCCTGAGTATTTGACTCTGAATTGTAACCTGTTAACTTCCCTAATAAATCCCTTAATCATGAGCATTGTCTCCGAGTTCTGGGTGGTCATTGCAATGAATAACTGAATCCAGCTGAGAAATCGAGAGTGCCGGACGTGAGAGGAAGAGCTAGTGTCACAAACTCAGCCTCATAGGTATCAGCGTTGGGCTGATGAGTTTGATTCTCCTTCCCCCTTGTGAAGGCAGTGGAGGTTGGATGATATAGGAGTCCCTGGGTGCTGCAACTGTTACTGTTTGGTTGTTAATCAAGAAATTGCAGCTTTAAGTCCACTCAGGGGCACTTTGGAAGAAAGGTCTGACAATCTATTTCCAAAACAATCAACCACTGAAAATCTTACAACCCTATGGAGCACAGTTTCTATTATGACACACATGGACTTACTGGAATCAACTTGATAGTGATGGTACTGGTACTACCAGGATTCTGTAAAGCTGATTGAGACCTTGGTGACCCATACAGCACTTGTTTATGGGGGTGGGGGTGGGGGTGTGCCATGGAGTTGGTACCGTCTCATAGTGAACCTGCATAGGATTTCTGAGGCTGTAAATATTTACAGGAGCAGAAAGCCTCACTCATCTTTCTCCCACGGAACAGCTGGTAGTTTTGAACTGCTGACCTTGAGATTAGCAACCCAACTCATAACCACTATGCTACCAGAGCTCCTTGTTTATGGGGGGTATCAGCCAACTTCTCTGGCATTCCATTAGCTTTAGTACATCAAACTGGAGTTCTGTCCCCAAGGTGCTCAGAAACAGTGATCTGGGAGAAAGGAACTTAAAGCCGTTTGCAGAGGACTTTAGATAAGGGAGGAAGCAATCATGAAAAATTTTCAGGGGAAGTGTGAAGCTCCCTGAACTCCCATCTTGACTAGGCCATTGTTAAATAGCCCCCTTCTTGTCCGTTCTTCATGAGTTTTCCTGGGGAAGCTTTCCCTATAGCTCCTAACACACACATATTACAAAATGACACCTCTGTGTGTAAGGTATGGGAGAGAGATGTGGCTTTCTGCTCCCGTAAAGATTTAAAGCCTTGGAAACCCTGTACAGGGTCTCTATGAGTCGGAACTGACTCCACAGCACATAACAACAACAACAATGTATAAGATAGACTGTAACTTCTGCCTTTTGTTGGTTGTTTGAGCGTAACTTGCACTACGAGCACAGAAACACCCCCCACCCCCACCCCACAAAAAACAACAAGGTGAGGACAAAAACCTTGTGTCTCTGTGGTCAGTTTGACCAACATCATATAAAGGCTGTGAAGTGTGTGTTGGTGGGGAGGGTTCAAAGAATAAAAGGCATTGCCTGCCTAAGAGTTCACAAGGTGCAGGGTGGAGACTGCACATAAGAACACGCAGCTAGAACGACATCTGCAGCCCCTCAATGCCTGGAATGCAGAAAATAGAAGGGGGGTGTGGGTGGGGGGAGAATGGCAAGCTTGGCAAGGCTTTCTGAGATGGGAGCCTGTGAGGTTCTGCAAAATCCAACATAAGATTTAATATCATTTAGCCCATAAATGGTGCTTCAGTGATAGTTTTCCATCCAGGAAAGAGAATGTACTTCACACAAAGCCACCATTCATCTGTCAGTAGAGGCTTGAATGTTGCTATGATGTTGAACAGGTTTCAGTGGAGCTTCCAGACTAAGAAGACTAAGAAGAAAGGCCTGGAGATTTATTTCTGAAAATCATCCCATGAAAACCCCATACATCACAATAGCCTGATCCCATTATGCATGATGTCACCATGAGTCAGAACTGACAACAGAGTCCTATGAATTGAGAAAGCAAGAGGAGAAAGCACACTCCTTAGTAGGAATGCTCTGAGGTCAAGGAACCCAGTGGTCCTCCCCCATGGAAACATCCTCAAGGGAAGCACCAGTTCTGACTCCCCTCTGTCCTCAGGCCTGAGCATCAGCATCTTTCCTCTGGCTTCAGCCTTGGGATTGCTAAATTCAGAAAATGCTCATCTTTCAGAGCTTCATGAAGTTAACACTGACTTTCAGGACTGTACAAGTTCAACTTTTTTTTTTTTTTTAAATAATATTTTATTGAGTTTTTGGTGAAAGTGTACATAGCAAATTTGGTTCCCACTTGACAATTTTCACACATATTTATTGTTCAGTAACATGAGTTACATTTATCACAATGTGCCAGCATTCTCTTTCATTGTGTTCAGTACTCCAGTGTCCCAGCCCCCTTATCTTCTCATCTTTGCTTTTGAGGAATGTTGGCCTTCTGGTTTGATATTGATGCTTTTTGAGAAGGACACCAGTCTACGGGCAATATCCTTTATGTTGTGCATCACTCTGCAATTTTGCTAAAAGGTGATCTCAGGGGATAGGCTTGGGTCTAGGTTTAAAGACTGTCTCAGGGTAGTAGTCTCAGAAAGTACCCTGTTCTTTACTGTTCCAGTTAGTCTAACTCTATTTTTTTAAAATAAGAATTTGAACCCTGCTCCATATTTTCTCCCATTCTATCTGGGGCCAACTATTGCGACACAATCAGAAGAGTCAGTGGTGGTAGCTAGGCACCATCTAGTTCTTCAGGTCTCAGAGTAGATAAGGTAGACTCTTGTAGACTGGTTTCTTTGTGCTTTCGATTACCTTACTGTTTTGCTCCTGGTGAGTAGAGACCTATAGTTGTTATCTTAGATGGCTACTCATTTTACTAAGCTATTCATTTTACTAAGATGCAGATCACATTTTTTTTAAGCTATATCATGGTCTTTGACTGAGTTGTCCCATGAAACCATGGTTCTAAGCCTTCAAGTCCAAAAGATCAATGCTGGAAAGTGTGGTTATGTCTGAGAAATTTCCGTATTGATACCTTTAATGCATATATGTCTTTAATGAATATATAGCACCCACACATTTGTTTTACACATATCTTTGAAGATTAAGTTGCACTTGACCCAAGCCATGGTATTTTCAGTTACCTCATATGCATGTGAGAGCTGGACAATGAATAAAGAAGACCAAAGAAGAACTGATGTCTTTGAATCACCATAAGGTGTTAGTGAAGAATATTGAATATACCATGGACTGCCAGAAGAACGAATATATCTGTGTTGGAATAAGTACATTCAGAATACTCCTTAGAAGCAAAGTTGTTGAGACTTTGTCTTATGTGCCTTGGACATTTTATCAAAAGAATATCATGCTTGGTAAAGGTAGTGGGTCAGCAAAAAAAAAAAAGGAAGACCCTCAGTACAATGGATTGATTGACAAGTGGCTATAACAGTGGGCTCAAATATAGCAACTACTGTGAGGATGGTACAGGACGTGGCAGTGTTTTGTTCTATTGTACATGAGGTCACTCCGAGTTGGAACCAACTGGATGGCACCTAACAACAACATAGGTATTTCTATCTGTTCTCATCTGTGTATGCATCTGAACCTACCCATAGACCAATTTGTTTATTCTCATCCATATATACACAATTGCTAGTTTTTACTTTGGTTGTGCTGTGCTCACTGTATCTACATCCAGTGTCACTTTTCCCTCACCAAAAATAATTTGTCTATGTTGTATAAATTGGACTTTCAACATTTCCCTCCCTGGAAACCACCAGCGAACACACTGATCTCTCTCTATTTATCTATGTGTAGTCTTGCCTTCTTATAAAACAGAGATCATACAATATTTGTCCTTACATGCTTGATTTATCACATTTAGCATCATACCTTCCATGTCCATCCATGTTATATTTTGCAGACTCAACATTGTTCTTTATGGCTATATAGGATTTCATTGTATATAAGTACCACAGTTTGCTTATCTGTTCATCCACTGATGGACACTTGGCTATTTCCATTTATTTGTTATTGTGAATAAAACAACAATGAACATAGGTGTGCATATGTCTGTCTGTGTCATTAGTTTTAGGTCTCTAGGGTACATACCTATGAGTGTGGTGGTTGGATGACAGAGTAATTCTATTTCTAGTTTTTAAGAAAACACCATACTATTTTCCATGTGGTTGTATCATCTCGCCTGCAATGAATGAATTACAATCTCCCCCATACTCTTACCAACATTTGATGTTATCTGGTGTGGTTTTTTGTTGTTGTTTGCTTTAATCAGTTGCATTTAACCAGGAGGGTAGGATGGTATCTCATTGTAGTTTTGATTTGCATCTCTCTAACGGCTGATGATTGTCAACATCTTTTCATACATTTGTTGGCTGCTTGGATGGCCTCTTTGGTGAAGGCTTTATTCATGTCCTTTGCTCATTTTTATAATTAGAAAGTTGAACTATTTTTGATTGTTTAAAAATAGAACATGTGAACACTCTTCAACTTGTCAAAAAGAGGAAATCATTGTTTCAAAATGACCATTTCCAATAGCTGTAGGCATTTCAACATCATCATAGTCGTTTTCAAGCTCAACATAGCTTGGGATGGAAACTGTCTTTGTATTTCTAATTTTATGTAATGATGAGTATGTAGCTTCTGGCCCATGTGGGGTTTCCTGTGGAGCTGGAAGACACAAAAATGTCCTTAGATTCAAAGCCATTGTGTTCATGATTATCTGGGTTTCAGTGAACTTCCCACTTTTGTTGAGTATATCCCCATTTTACAGAGATCAGTTAGACACACACATGACACCCATGTGAATAAATGACAAGTAAGTTCAGACATCTAATTTTTGACCCTCATGTCTCTCTGCAGTGTGACTGTGAAACCAAAGTTTGGTCTTGAGCCCTTAGAAAAGAAACTGACCAGAGCCACTAGACAAATGAATACAGTTATATCTGCAGATTTTAATTCTCATGACGAAGTTATACAAATCATGTTTCCTTTTTGACAGATTTCCCACAATGACCTACCCTGTTTTCCAAACCTGTCCATAATTGCTCAAGTACAGATTTCTCTGCTAAGAGAGGAAGGCAACAGTGATGTTTTCAAAAGGTAGAATAAATGGAAAATGGATACATAGAAAAAGGACTAAAGTGGCTACAGAATGATGAGACAGCTCAGCTCCATCTGTGGTGGAATTGGAACTGCTCTGCTGCAGTTCCACCTTCCCAAGACTAGTTGCTGTTGAGTTGATTCTGACTTATGGTGACCCCATTGTTTCCAGTAGCTGATATTTTGGATGTAGATCACCAGGACTTTCTTAGCAGCTGATTGTGTTAGCTGTTTGTACTACTCATGGATGACATCTCCTCCCAGGAGAATCTGCAAAGCTACTGCCCTTTCATTTCCTTCAGAGTCCTAGTTCGTGTTCAGGCTCTATCCCTCACTAGCTATGTGATCTTGGGCAAGTCACTTAACTTCTCTTTGTCTCAATAATGTACCCGACTCAGAGTTTTTGTGAAGATTAAATCAGATAACAACTATAAAGTGACTAGCATGGGGCCTGGCTCACAGTGTGTGTTTAATAAATATTAGTTTGGAGTCCTAGTGTGGCACTGCAGGATAATGCACTGGACCACAAGGTCAGTGCCTAGTACTGTAAGGTCAGCAGTTCAAACTCACCAGCAGCTCCTTGGAAACCCTACATAGGATCTCTATGAATCGGAACTGAGTTGATGGCACTTAACATCAACAGCTAATATTACTACTTATTCATTCCATCAAAGCATTTTAATTAGGCACCTACTAAGTTCCTGGTGTGGCGCTGTAGGCTAATGCGTCAGACTGCAAAGCCGCTTGAACTGCAAGGTCGGCAGTTCAAGCTCACCCCCTGCTCCTCAGAAACCCTATACAGGGTCGCTATGGGTTGGAATCGACTCAACAGCACTTAACAATAACAAGCTCCTGAAGGAGCCCTGATGGTATAGTGGGTTATTTGTTGGGCTGCTAACTACAAGGTTAGAAGTTCGAATCCACCAGTCACTCCATGGGAGAAAGATGAGGCTTTCTGCTCCCAAAAAGATTTGTTGTTGTTGTTGTTAAGTGCTGTTGAATTGGTTCCAACTCATAGTGACCTGTATAGGTTCCCAAGGAGCAGCTGGTGAGTTTGAACCACTGACCTTGAGGTCCAATACATATAGATTTAAGCCTCAGAAACCCTATACAGTGTTGCTATGAGTCAGAATTGAGTCAACAATACACAACCACCATCACCAAGCTCCTGGTGTGAGGCTGTAAGATAAGTACTAAACTGCTAACCGCAAGGTAGGTGGTTCAAAGCCACTCTTTGGAAACCCAACACAGAGTCACTATAAGTCAGAACTGACTCAGTGGTACTTAACAACAGCAACAAGTTCCAGGTACTGTTGTTGGTAGTAAGTAAACAGTAGGGAACAAGACAAGAGTTTATTTTCTAGAGGAGGAGCTATATAATAAACAAATGAGCAACAACTAAATAAAACAATTTCAGATAATGTACATGTTTCATAAAGGAAATTAATAAGACAACTTTAGGTGTGATGATCAGGATGGCCTCTTGAGGTGGTGACATTTGAACCTGACACCTGAAAGATGAGGCGAGGTCAGCTATGTGAAGAGTTTCAGGAAGAACATTCCAGAAAACAGGAGGCAGGCAGTTTTTCTCATTGGAAATGGGAGAGCCCCAATGTAGCATCACCCGGCTGCTCACATTTCCAAGCTGGGATTTGAACATAAATTGACACGTTAATATCAAGAGCTTTGTTACTTATTCTTCCTCATTCTAACTTATTCTTTTCTTCTAAACAGAATGCTGCCATCTGTTAAATCCTAGATGCATTTGTCATCATGCCCTGAGTGGAACGGTTTGTTATCAGCAAAATGCACTTACAGTAAGCTTCTGAAGAAGGTAAGCTCCTGGGTGGCAGAGGGGGTAACTGAGTTGGTTCATTAAGAACATTCCTAAATAGAGAGAAAGAGAGGAGAATTAATGTTTGGTTTTACCCATGCCTATGTTCAAACCCACCAGCCACTCCTTGGAAACCCTATATAGGGTCACTGTGAATCTGTACTGACTCAATGGCACTTAACAACAACAACTGTCAGTAGACATAAAGGAAAGTGAACAAGACTGAACATTCACATCTTGGTCATCACAAATTGGAAGCATTTTCTTTCCTTTCTATGTACTGTTTCCCATTTGTAACTGGCACACTAAAGAAACCAGTCCTCTAGCCCAGGGAAGGCTGAAAGTGAGGGAAAAGGGTGAAAACTCAGTAACTTGAGTGTGAAGCATATATTTCTGGGTTTGTCTGAGCTGGATTCAGGTCTGTCTGAGTTGGATTTGCAGTGGGAGCTAAGTACCAGGTGTATTTTGGGTTGCAAAACAGAAGTACTCCTAAAACTAAACATACTCACATCCTATGACAGCAATCCCTCTAATTAGTTGATTGTCTCGGAGAAGTGGAGTGTAATATGTATACAGGAAAGTTCACATTAGTAAATGTATCAACAAAACAAAACTGAACCAAGTGCTGTCAAGTGTACTCTGACTTATGGCAACCTCCCATGTGTCAAGAGTAGAACTGTGCTCCGTGGTTGATTTTTCAGAAGCAGATTGAAAATCCCACGGAGCAGTGTTACTCTGACACACATGGAATCATCATGAGTCAGAGTCGACTTTACAGCAACTGGTTCCATTGATACATTTACTAATCTGCATTTTTCTGTATACATATTATATTTCACTAAGAAGTTTTAAAAATGGTAGTCTCCAAGAAAGCCTCTCTAATTAGATCTCCATTTCCATCTGTGTGCACGGATTTCCAAACTGATTCTGGATTCTTCTGATCTGAATTTTGGGCTCTTGTGGCCATCAGCATTTTTAGATTATTGGGGTGAGTGGAGAAGGGAAGGAACATGTGGCAGAAGTCCCATCAGTTGCCTCTCTCTGCCTCTCTATGGCTCTCTTCAGGAAAGGAGGGTCATTTTTCTGGCTTTTAACTTTCAAGAAAATCCTTCCTCCTTCAGAGCTGGCTTGACTGCAGAAAGCATATATTCTGCCCAGGTCTTTGCCATTCGAAGAAAAGGGACTGCTCTGTCAGAGGAAACCCAAGGTTTTCTAGGACTGCTTGAGAACTAAGCAGGAATGTTGGCCTAATTTAGAATTAGGAACTTGCTTGCTTGCTTCAGGAGAAGAGCCACAGTCTATAATGCGAGCTTTAATTTTTTTCTTTAAAAAAAAACAACAAAAAAAGTGTTGTGGTTGAGAATGTACACAAAAGAACATACACCAACAATTTCTACATGTTCAATTTAATGACACTTATTAAATTCCTGCAAATGAGCAACTGTTTTCACCCATCTTTTCTGAGTTGTTTCTTCTCTCTTAACATAAACTTAGGGCCCCAGAAGGTTCCTAGTTAATCTTTTGAGTTATTGTCAATTTGATTCTATATAGCTAATTCTTTTTTTTTTTTCCTTTAAGTTTTATTGTAAATTATGTGACAGTTTACATGGGAGAACATTAGTTTTACATTCATCTCTTTGTATATAGTTTCATTGCCATGGTTACAATCCCCTCCACACATCACCTATACTAGTTCTTAAAACAGCTTAAGGCAGACATTCTTGACTAATTAAGCTTAATTATTGTTTGCTTTAAAGAAGACTTCACAGGGTATTTTCAGCTTAAGGTCTAAAGATTATCTCAGGACAATAGTTTTGAGGGTTCATCCAGCCTCAATGGCTCCAGAACGTCTGGATTCCATTACAATTTGAAATTCTGTTCTACGTTTCCCCCTTTATCAAGATCCTTCTACAGAATCTGTGATCAAAATATTCAGTAGTGGTAGATGTGTGCCATACATTTCTTTTGGTCTCATGGTAAAGGAGACAGCTTTTCATGGGGGCAATTAGCCACACATTCTGTTTCTTCCTCCTGTCAGTTTTATTCTTAACAAAGGTGATCTTTGGGTTATCTAACTGCCTTACACATTTGTCTGATTCCTCATTGTGATCCGAATTGGTGGGGGATGGGGTCTATTGTTTGTTGGGTACCTTGAATCTGTTTAGTAGATGTGCTGCTGAGGCAAGCATATATAACCAGCTATTTTAGAAAAGTTTGTTTTATATAGTACACATATTCCAAAGAAAGGATTGGCACCTTAACTGGCCCCTGAAAGATAATCTCTAAGGCCTTAGAATATCCTGTGTAGTAAGCATGTCTTTGTATACCTGGGACCTAAGGCCATGCCAGATAGTTTATGCTAACAATGTAATTTATGGTGAATGCCTGTTTCTGTATGTGTCTTTGGGTCACACTACATAAGTTTGACCTCTGTTAGGGCTGGGGATTGGGTTGTCCTAACTACTAACTCTGGTATCTCTGGTAGCGTAGTGGTTATGATTCAGGTTGCTAATCTCATGGTCAGCAATTCGAAGCTACCACCTGTTCTGTGAGAGAAAGATGAGGCTTTCTGCTCCAGTAAAGATTTACAGGCTAGGAAACCCTATACTGGGTCGCTGTGAGTAAGGGCCAACTCCACAGCACATAAGCACCATCACCACCAACTACTAACATGACTGAGTCACAATAAAAACCATGGACACTAAAGGCTCAGGGGAGCTTCCCTGGTTGGCATATTTACATACATTGTCACATATATTGTTGCTGGGAGAATATATTTACATATATTGTACATATATTGTTGCTGGGAGAATTAGGTGCTGTCCATGTGACTCCACCAAGAGGACAACTGGGATCTCATGCCTGGTTTCTGCTCTATATGTCTTTTTCCTTTGTTCATTTCAATGTGTATCTTTCCACTGTAATAAACAGAACTTTGAGTGTAATAGCTTTTCTGGGTCCTTTGAATCCTTTTAGTAAATCATTGAATCTAAGTGTGGGCTTGGGGATTCCCATTACAGATAGTTATCTATCATAAGACCCCAAACACAAGGATAAGTCAAAAAGTGTTGCTACAAGGTTTCCATTTCATTTATGTACAAGTTTATTCTAAACACAACATTTCAACATGTCTCTGTTATCAGTGGATGTCCCCAGACAAGTTATCTCAATTATACACTTGTCTAAGTCTCATTAGAGTGTCTTCAAAACTGGATACTTTTTGTGCCCTAGGAGAAAAAAATGATTTTGAGATCAGGGCTGATATCAAATTTTTAACAAAATTCAAGTGTACATCTTCCCAAATCATTAAAGCTTTGTAACAAGTTCATGGGAATGCTGCCTCAAATAAAACAGTTTTTAGATGGATCAAGTATTTTAAGGAAGGTCAGGAAGACTTTAAAGATAAGCCAAGAGCGGGAAGACCATCAACATCAATAAATCAGGAAACTGTGGCTGAAGTCCAGAAACTAGTGGAAGAAGTCCACAGTATTACTATTGATGCAATAGCTACTGAAATTGGGATCTCACATGGCATTTTCAGTTTTAAGCAATTATTTTTACCTCAGCAAGAATTTGAGTGCATGGATGTCAAAAACATTGTACAAAGATCAGCTAGCTCAAAGAGCTGCTTTTTCCTTCCATCTTTTAAGCAAGATCAAAGTCTTTTAAGCAACATGAAGACAAATTTATGGAATGAATTGTAAGTGGGGACAAATCTCAAATGTACCAGTGTGATCCAGAAAGCAAGATCCAATGAAAACAGTGGCTTCTGAGGGGATCTGCTAGACTAGTTAGATTCAAGGTAGAAAAGTTAGCTCAGAAGGTTATGATGACTGTTTGGGGGATCCCAAAGGGGAAATCTTGATAAGCTTTCTCAAAGGGCACAGGGTGATCATGGGGGCTTATTATGAGGAAGTTTAAGAAAATTGAATTTGGTGAGAAAAAAATCCAGGAAAGTTGTGCCAAGGAATTTTTCCCCCATGCACTTGCTCATTCTTCGTAGGTAGCAAGAGTTGTCCTAGGAAAATTTTGTTGGAAAACTTTGCCCCACTCACTGTATAGTCCTGATCTTGACCCTTCAGACTTCTTTTTGTTTCTAAAACTCAAATAGTATTTAAAGGGAAAACAGCTGAATCCCACAGGGATGACCAAAGTGCTGTTTTGACATGGTGAAATTCAAAGAGTGTAGAGTTCTGCAGGGGACTAGTTAGAAAGATGGCAACACTACCTTCAGAAATGCATACACCTTGGTGCTTTAGGTACAGTCTAGTCAGTTCTGACTCTGCGTGCAACAGAACAAAACAGTGCCTGGTCCTGTGCCATCCTCACAATTGTTGTTGTATTTAGGTTCATTGTCGCAGCCACTGTATCAGTCCAGCTTGTTAAGGGTCTGCCTCTTTTTTTTGCTGAACCTCTATGTTACCAAGCATTAGGTCCTTTTCCAGAATTGGTGCCACCTGATAATGTGTCCAGAGTAAACAAGATGAAGTCTCACCATTGTCACTTCTAAGGAGCATTCTAACTGCACACAGATTTGTTTTTCTGGTAGTTCATAATGTATTTACTATCCTTCACCAACACTGAGAAACCATCGCTTCACATTTTGATATTTTTGTTTCATAAAAATGTTTATGATTTTGTAGCAGTACTTTTTGACTCGCCCTCATCTGTTACAAAATACACAAATAAAGTGAAAGGTATATTTTCGATGAGCACAATAGCTTTAAGAGGATTATACTTGTAATCTGTTTAATGAAAAGAAGCACAGCTTTAGCCCTGAATGGTGAATCTAGAACATGGAGTCAGTCCTATGACTTCTATCAAAATAGATTCAACAAGAAAGAACTGGGAGAGCACAAAGAGCCCAATAATTCCTGCACCCTCAAATCCATGAGACCGCTCCGCTTAGAGGAGGCGAGTTGGAAGATGTGCCATTTCTCTGGCTGCACAGGAAAAATAGGCATTTCATTCATCCTAGCAAAGTAGTGTAGGAATAGCAGTGAAAGTGTATAAGCGGGTCTCAAAATGAAAAATCTGAGGGATTTGCTCCCACTTACTCATACATATTTTCTTCATCTCTTTGGTTTTGTTTCAAGGGCTTGGCAATTTCCAATTTGTTGCCTAGAGGGGAAAAAGCATCTTCATTTAGGAAAAATGACAACAGTTGTGATTTTAGAGTTTAGAAGTTCTCCAAGGTCAGCAGGTCTAAGATATTTGGAAAGAACTACCGAGAGGAGACAGACTTTAAGACACAGAGTTAGTGAGTGGTGGTTGTTGTTAAGTGCTGTTGGTTCTAATTCATAGCAACCCCATAGGGAGTTTCCAAGGAGCAGCTGATGGGTTTGAAGTGCTAACCTGGTGATTTCTCAGTCCAGAGCTCTGGTAGTATAGTGGTTATGAATCGGGCTGCGAACCGCAAGGTCAGCAGTTCGAAACTACCAGCTGTTCCGTGGAAGAAAGATGAGGCGTTCTGCTCCCATAAAGATTTACAGCCTTGGAAACCCTGTTCAGTGTCGCTATGGGTCGGAACCGACTCGATGGCACTTAACAACAACAACAAATGTAAAAAGAACTCCTGGTGTGGCCCTGTCCGATCAGCACTAACTAGACTACAAACCACAAGGTAAACAGTTCAAACGCACCAGCGGCTCCTCAGAAACCCTTTATAAGGTTGCTATGTGTTGGAACTGACTCGACAGCACTTAATAACAAGAGTAAAAAGTTTTAAGATAGAGGACTATAAACCAGAACACACTTTTTATTTTAAAGAGAAAAATCAGTTACCATCAAGGAGTAGAGAAGAAACAACATTGAACTGAGAGCCCAGAAGACTTGAGTTCTGGTCTCAACTCTACCATCAACTCCCATGGGATCTCAATCAAAGCTCTATCTTCCTTCAAGCCTTAATTTCTTATCTCAGAATAAGTAACTAAGAAGAATGTTTACATGAGCATTAACTTCCTTTCACCTCGTGTGCAGTCCTGTCTTTTTAGCCCTGAGTTGAACAGGATGAAGGCTGTGTACACAAATAATGGGAGGACAGAGCCTTGGTCAATGATGGATGCCTGTCCAGATACCCCTGGGGAAAGTGATTCTACACCTTAGTGTATCTACTTTCCTGAAGTGTAAGTCTAGCTTTGGTCATTATTTAAAGGTATAGCATCTAAAGTAAAAACATCACTGAATCAACAGTTTCATGTTTCTGGAAATTAATAGCAAAATGGAAATCCACTTGTAGATCATCTAAAACTAATATTAATCCCCATGTAGCTACTGCATATTTATGTCAAGGCTGTTGAAAATCTCTGGGCAGAAAATCTTGAATACTACCTTAAAGGAAAGGAGCTCTGGTAGCGTAGTGGTTACGAATCGGGCTGCGAACCTTAAGGTCAGCAATTCGAAACTACCAGGTGTTCCACCGGAGAAAGCTGAGGCATTAAGCTCCCATAAAGATTTACAGCCTTGGAAACCCTGTGCAGGGTCGCTATGAGTCGGAACTGACTCCACGACACATAACAACAACAACAACCTTAAAGGAGGCAATCGTCATGATCAAACAATATGTTTGTTGATCATGGATTGAGTCCATCTTTCACTCCTCAAGACAATTTTTGGACATTCTACAAAGTTGTGCTCTCTTAAGTCCCCAGATAAGATGTTGTGTTCTGCAGCCATATTGGAAAGAAAAAACATTTGAACATATTGTGCTTTGGAACAGAGTTTGCTTTCATCCATCCCCATAGGTTGGAAGGTGTTTGGGAATTAACTAGCCCTTGTTCCTTCCCTGTACAGATGGGAAAATTGACGCTCAAGGACATGAGTTAGTGGCAGAGATAGAACTAAAGCCCAGAATGCATGATGCTAATCCAGTCACACAGGCCCAGAATGAATCTTTCTGTCCTAAAAGAGTCTGAATGTACTGATAACCATACCTTCTTTCCTTTTACCAACTCAGGGGAAATGGTCATTACCTTGTCTAAGGTGCCGTCTACAGGCACAGAACAGGATGAGGCCCAGGCTCACTGAGACAATGATGATGGCCCCAGCTAAGAGGATCCAAAAATAGTCCCTCCACCAATCCATTGTAGTAGAATCTTGAGCTAGAAAGGAAGGGAGATAGAAGAGTGAGGCATGAGTGAAGGGCATCCTGGAGTAGTGGCGTTATGCTGGGGAGGTTATCTACCATGTCGTATAGAGATACAAGTATCTGCTGAGGAATCAGACAGGGAGTAGTTTACATTCAAACACCACCAATTAGTATCTAGGAGACCCCAAGCAAGTCACTTCACCTTTTCTGAGCCTCAGTTTCCACATCTATAATATGGGAGTGACAATGAAGTCCCTGAGTGGTAGAAATGGTTAATGTGCTCAGCTGCTAATCAGCAGGTTGGAGGTTCAGTCCACACAGAGGCACCTAGGAAGAAAGGCTTGATGATTTGCTTTAGAAAAATCAACTGTAGAAAACCCTATGGAGTATAATTCTAGTCTGACACACTTGGAGCTGTCATGAGTCAGGATCGAACTGATAGCAACCAGTGGCAGAGTCAGTAGGCATCTTAGAAGTGGTGACATATATAGTCACTACTTTCTCTTCTATTGCCAAACATGTAACAGGAGGGGGGAATTTGCCACTTAAAGCAAATAATTGACTATAATTGTTTTTTATGCAATAAGTACAATGTAAATTTAATTCATAGCAAGAGGGATAGAAATTTGAGGGCTTTCTTTTGGGAAGGCTAGCAAAATGCTTTGTAGGACTATTTGAATTGAATCAGAGGGAAGGAGAAGACAAAGAGACAACTGACTTGGTTTGCATGAGGAAAGTAACAAGAATTTGAAGGTTGACAATTGATTTAAAAGGAATCATATTAGAAGGTCCTAGGTAGAGTGAGAGAAAATGTGGAACAAAACTCAAAATTGTAAAACAGATCAAGCTTACTAGTCAAATAGAGACTTGTTGAACTCTGAGACTATGACCCTTGCTCACCCTTCAGATATGGAACTGAACCCACCTCTGAGGCTCACTTTTCAGTCACTAGATAGGTATATTGGGGGCACAACAACACTAGTGAGGAATACACACCTTATGATTTGTCAACCATTCAAGATCAAAAGTAACAAGAATTTGGAGGTTGACAATTGAGAAAAGTCACAAGAATTTGGAGTATTTACCTATGGGCAAATTCAGAAGGATATGAGAAGAAAGAGGAATGGAGACAAGAAACACAGGGATGAAGCCGGGATAAGTGATGTTACAAGGAGGAGATTGCAATGAAAACGAAATGAATTGTATGATGTGTTGAATGTAAAACTGATGATTTGTTGTAGGAACGTTCACTCAGTTCACAACAAAAAGTTGAAAAAAAAAAAAGCATGTTAGTAGTGACAGCTAGTAGGCTAATGGAGGAGAATCTTGGAAAAGGATGATAACAGAAGGAGAGGTCGAAAAGATAGCAGCAAGACTGAGCATACTTAGAAATTCTTCAGAGTGGAAAGTGACTAGTGGATTTGTCTAATACTCCATTTTAAGTTGTTGCCTATATTATGTTATATCGAAATTTTTCTCTGTTCCTATCCACCTTGAATAAAACTGCACAGCAGATAGCCTTGTATAGGCAGAGCTGAGGGGAGATGACATGTGTGCATCGGTTTTCCACGTCAGGGGTGACATGGCAAGTAGAGAGAAGAGGAGCTGCCAATCTCTAAGTGACAGTGGGGAACAGGCTGCAGGATGGACTAATAGGAGCATCCCTGGGAATCTCAAGAGATCTTGGGGGGAGGCTGAACTCCCATTGTCTATGGAATGGACACCTTTTCTAGGTCATTTGGAAATTAAAGTAAAAGTAATCCTGAGTCCTGGAATACATCCTGGTCACATAAAAATCAACTTCTGGTGTCACCATTTAGCCAATAAAAGTTCATCTGTGCATATTGATATAGTGGGAGAAAAACATGAAGCAAAATCAGATTCATGCATTTGAGTAGCATTCACATTCTAAAAAGGAGTCTAGGAAGGGGCACAGAAACAGGGGCTGCATTAGGCTGATGCTAACGCCATTATTACCACAAAGATCTGCTAACATTTACAAATATGTTAGTTACCTGGAATAACTGACCTAAATCACACAGACAGATATTTTGCTGCAGATTATCTTTTCAGGATGCACAAAGGAGAAGAAGGGAGGAAGAAGAACATTTGGAAAAGGAAAAAATGGAGAATGAAATTTGGTTTTGCAGGACTCAGTAAAAGTCAAAAGAGTACTAGACTTAAAAAGAGGCCACAGATCATGACCTTAAGACCAGAAAATTAGATGGTGCCTGGCTACCACTACCAACTGCTCTGAAAGGGATCACACTAGAAGGTCCTGGATAGAGTGGGAGAAAAACATGAAGCAAAATCATAAAAAAGACCAGGCTTACTGGTCAGATACTGGTGGAACCCTCAAGACTATGGTCCTTGATCATTTTTTAGATCTGGGACTGAACTCACCCCCATAACCTGGTTTTTAGTCAGGTAATGGACAAGTCTATGAGGGGAAGAGCAACAATAGTGAGTTACGCACACCATGGAATGATCAACCGTTTGAGATCAGGGGGCAGCATTTACCCAAGGACAAAGTTCAGGAGGGTTGGGAAAGAAGGGGGAATGGAAATGAAGGGGACAAAAAGAGGCCACAGATCAGAAGTTGGGCTCTTTGTTCAGTAAACCTAAATTGGAACTTCATGTTTAGTTACTGGGGATCTGCTGGATGAATGGATAGATAGATGACGATAGATAGATAGTTTGGGTAGATAGGGTAAGTAGGTAGAATAGAATGCTCTTGTTTGCATTTTCTCAATTCTCTTTGCTCTTGTTCAGATGTTTGACTCTTGATTCTTTGTTTACCTTTTTCTCGTATTTTCTGTCTGTCTTTTTGCTTTACTCTTGAAGAATTTCCCCCCAAAGCTGCATAACCTTACTCTTTAGAGCTATAAGAGCAAATACAGGATACAAGAGTTAAAAGTTGTTGCATCTGAGAACATGACTTAGGTGAAAGGAAAGCAGTGGGAAGAAAGGTATTTGTATTTCATTACAAATGTGCTGAATTACTTGATTTTTGAACGATTTGCATTTACTTCAATAAAATTGAAAAAAAAAGTGTCAGTCATCTATTTAGTACTTCAATGCTGTAGAGTTGCTTCAGACTCATGGCAACCACAGAAGACAGCTAGAACCTCTCCATAGGATTTCTGAGGCTGTAAATCTTTATGGAAGCAGACTGCCTTATTTTTCTCCTGTGGAACAGCTTTTGATTAACTGACCATCACTTAGCACACTGTGCCACCAGGGCTCCTTTGATACAGTATGTTGTTATTATTGTTGTTGCTAAGTTCTGTCAAGTCAATTCCACCCCATAGTGATCCTGTATAGGGTTTCCAAAGAGCAAATGGTGAGCTTGAAGTGCTGACCTTGTGGTTCTAAGAGACATTACAGTCCAGTGCATTAATTCACAGTGCCACACCAGGACTCCTTTTATATAGTATATTGTTGTTGTTGTTAGGTGCCATCAAGTCGGTACCAACTCATAGAGACCTTATGTACAACAGAACAAAACACTGCCCGGTCTTGAGCCAACCTCACAATTATTGCCATGCTTGAGCCCATTGATGCTGCCACTTTGTCAATCCATCTTGCTGAGGGGCTTCCTCTTTTTCTCTGACCCTCATACAGTATAGTTTCCATGAAAAGTCATTGCTCAGTTTCAAGGTTCTAGAAATTTCATTCTCTTCAGATCATGGAAAAGAGAGAAGTGGAATGTTATCTGGAAGTGAAACTATGTGTCACTTTGCAGAACTTCTCAGTGGGATAAGTTTTGGGCAGTTTTGTTCTCACACACTATGATCGTTAAGGTTTTGTGTCAACCTGACTGGGTCAGGATTCTCAGTGGTTTAGCAGTTAAGATGTAGTAATCCCCCAGGATGAGATCTAATATAAGGGAATCACTTTCATGTTGAGATCTGTTATGAGCAGCTAATCAATTGAAAGGAAGCTTCCTCAGGGATGTGGCCTGCAGCATTTTTTATGTTACAAGAGTTAAAAGGAGAGAGAAGTGAACTGAGAAGGGGGGAACTACTACCACCAAGAAAGAACAAGTGGGAGTAGACTCGGTTCTTTGGAAGTAGGGTCCTTGCACTGTGAAGCTCCTAGATCCAGGGAAAGATGGATGATAAGACACGCAGAGATCTCAGAGGAATGCTGGGCCTAGAGATACTTATAGAGGACAAGAGCCTTTCCCCAGAGCCAGTGCTCTGAATTTGCACTTCTATCCTCCTAACCTGTGAGAGAAAACATTTCTGTTTGTTAAAGCTGTCCCCTTGTGGTGTTTCTGTTGTAACAGCACTGGAGAACTAAGACACATAAAGTGGATTTGATTTGCCATCTAACGTTTTGAGTGTTTCAGGGAAACCAAGCACTCTGTCAGAGTGCCATCTCTTACCTAATTTCATCCTCCCACCCCTACTCGGTTTTACTGAAGGAAAATCAAGGTTGAGATAAAGTGACCTGCCCACTAGCTTATCAAGGAAAGGACTGGAGTTGGAGTCACAGAGGGCAGATAGAGTGGGTGGCACAGGCTTGCTGAGGACCACTGCCATATAGGGTGAAGTCCAGCCAAAGAGGCAGCTGAGTCTCTCAAGGAACCACCAGTGCCCTGGGGTTGAGTCCATCATCAGTGGGCCAGTTAGAGCCCACAACCTAGATCAGCAGTAATGCCCCATTAAAGCCAGACTGCCTGTGCAAACTACTTGTCCCTCTCTTTCTATCTCATCTCAGCATCAGAGAAGTAAATGCAGAGACAGGGCTATTGAGAGCAACCTCCATCCTTCTTTTCAATCCTCTTGCCGGGACAAAGGGGAAAGCCTTGAGCCAAATAAAGATTAAAGTTTTAAAATGAATATGATTCTGTAAAGGTAGAGGTTTTGTAGCAAAAAGAGGGGGAGTGGTTGATCTTGCAGTCCAGAAGCAGGGGACCCTGGGACCATAAAGGGAGAAGAGTGTGAGTGGAGTGTGGGACCCTATTCAGAGAAGCAGTGACACCAGAGATGGAGGCAGAGATGAAGACGTGGAGAGATGGAGCGGCTGGGGACTCTAGACTCATGTGCTGGCGGCCAGGGGTCAGGCTTGCCCTTTGGGTGTTTGAATGATTATATATTCCTGAGTGTTTGGGTATACATAAAAAACAAACAAACCAAAAAATGAATATGATTACATTTTTAAAACTGAAATGAGTCTGCTTAATAATCAAAGGTAACTTGAAAGCTTTGAAATTGAACTGAAATATGCAATGGGACAGAGGAGAGGCCAGACAGCAGCAGTTATTGGAAACAAATCACTTGTATTTCTTTCCTGTAGCTGCTATAACAAATTGCCACAAACTTAGTGGCTTAAAACAACACAAATTTATTATCTTATAGTTTTGGAAGTTAGAAGTCTGATACAAGTCTCAATGAGTTATTATCAATATGTTGGCAGGGCTGCATTCCTTTCTGGAGGCTCTAAGGGAGAACCCAGCTCCTTGTCTTTTCTAGCTTTTAGAAGCCATCTGCATTCTTAATTTGTGGCCCATTCTTCCATCTTCAGAGTCAGCAATGTTGCATTTCTCTAACCATTCTTCCATAGTCACATCTGCCTCTGATCTTCTCTTCCATCTCCCTCTTCCACTTTTAGGAGCCCTTGTGATTACATTGGGCCCACCTGGATTATGTAGGATACTCCCCCTATTTTAAGGTCAGTTGCTTAGCAATTTCAACTCCATACTTCTCCTTTTCCATGTTGTCTAACATATACATAGATTCCAGGGATTAGGGTGTGGCCATCTTTGGGGATGCCCCTCAGCAAGATGGATTGCTTACTATTTATATTTACTATCACACAAACCATCTCATGTTCATACCTCAACAAGATAAGTCTCTTTGGCTAAAGTGGTTCCACCCACGGGTATGTACATCGATTATTTATTTAGCCATTTTAGAGATGCTTAAGGAGGAAAAGGTGGAAAAGTGAATGACCATTCTGCCCACTTTGAACAAAGTCCACCACACAGTCCACATAAACATTGCTGATCCAGTTAGGAAGCATTGGGAACATGCCACAAGGCTAGGGGCAGACACATAGGTAAGGGGGTGGGGAGTGGTCATTACACAGGAGGAAAAAAATCAGTGTCCCCAAGAGGCTGAGGAGATGAGACATTTAAAGTTCTAACCCAGGGAAAAGAAGGACCCTAGAAACCTGAGTGGGACCCAAAGTCCACACTAGACCAGAAGAGATCAGAATCCAGTGTGGGAACAGAGTTGGTCCAATTCCCAATCAGCACTGGTCCCAGGGCATGAGGAACAAAAGAACATGATCTAATTCTCTGCTGCCTAAGAGACACAACTCAGGTCCAAAGACACAAAATAGGTTGGAAGTGGAAGGAGGGAAAAAATATTCCATGCCAATAGTAACCAAAAGAGAGCTGGGGTGATGCTGAGCGCACAGGTGTCGATCCAGGAGTCCCAGCTACCAGGAGGTTAGGGACCTGGCAAGGTCTGACATCAGTTCCTATCAATGTGAGGAACCTTCAGCCATGAATGGAAGAAGGAAGAGCCCAAAGAACTATGGGAACACAGTTTGCTTATAGAAATTGAGTACCTTGGCTGTGCCAGGGTCTGGGCCAAGAACTTGACCCTGGCTATGCATCGGAAACACTGCAGAGCTTTCAATATCGCTGACGCCATCTCTACATCTCTAAATGTTCTTATTTGATTTGGGTTGGGGCCTGGCCTTTGGGGTTTTATTTATTTATTTTTTATGAAGTTCTCCAGGTGCTTCTAGTATGTGGCCTAGACTGAGAACCTCTAACATACATGTCATCACTTAATCCTTATTATAACCTTCTAAGGGAGGTGCTATTATTAGCTCATTTTACAGATGAGGAAATGGAAACATCAGATAAACTGATATTTGCTAAAGCTTACACAGTTAACAATTGACTGATTTGAGAGTCCAGCCCAGTCCAATGTGTTGTCAAAGTTCATGGTCTTTTGACTCCTGCCAGGCTGACACCAAGCAGAATTTTGGTACAAGAACATCCAATGTTGGCAAGACTTCAGTCTTTTTGCTGTGATATTAGAGCTTCATGAGACTGTCAATGTGAAAATGCACTTTAGAAAACTAACAAGCATTGAGTACTGCCTCACCATGAGTCCTAAGCACTCTACCCGCCCCCTCTCATTTCATCTTCACAACAGCTCTATAAGATTGTTGTTGTTAAATACTATCGAGTCGGTTCCGACCCATAGCGACTCTGTATAGGATTTCTGAGGAGCAGCTGATGAGCTTGAACGGCCGACCTTGCAGTTCAAATGGCTTTGCAGTCTGGCACATTAACCCACGGTGCCACCCCAGGACTCCAGGTAATTATTATTACTCCACTTACAGATGAGAAACCAGAGACCTAAAAGAGGTCAGTAACTTGCCCTCAATAGCAGAACTAGTTAGTGGAAAATTCAGAATCCAAGTTTGAATCTATGTAAATGTAGGGTCCTAATTTATAACCATGATAAACAAAGAAGAGACTGAAGTTGTCAAGGATTTCATTTTACTTGGATCCACAATCAACGCCTGTGGAAGCAGCATTCAAGCAATCAAATGTATTGGGCAAATCTGCTTGCTGCAAAAGACCTATTTAAAGTGTTAAAAAGCAAAGATGTCACTTTAGGACACTTGAACCAACCCATGGTATTTTCAATCCCCTCATATGCATGCCAAAGCTGGACAATGAATATGGAAGACTGCAGAAGAATTGATGCCTTTGAATAATGGTGTTGGGGAAGGATATTGAATGGGCTGCCGGAAGAATGAACAATCTGTATTGGAAGAAATACAACAGAATGCTCCTTAGAAGTGAAGATGGCAAGATTTCATCGCACCATCAAGAGGTACCAGTCCCTGGTGAAGTACATCATGCTAAGTAAAGTAGAGGGTAAGTGGAAAAGAGGAAGTTCCTCAACAAGATGGAGTGACACAGGGTGGTAACAATGGGCTCAAACATAGGAATGAGTGTAAAGGAGGCGCAGGACCAGACAGTGTTTTGTTCTCTTTGTACATAGGGTCGCTATGAGTCAGAATCGACTTAATGGCACCTAACAGTAACAACTTGTGGCCATCAAACCAGGGCTTCTCAAATGTTACATTTGAATCAGTTAAAATTACATATAAGTTTACAGATATATTTTAATGCATACTGTTATGGATTGAATTATGAGTCCTGGTGTGGCACTGTGGGTTAATGCGCCAGACTGCAAAGCCATTTGAACTGCAAGGTCGGCAGTTCAAGCTCACCAGCTTCTCCTCGGAAACCCTACGCTATGGATCAGAACCGACTCTACGGCACTTAACAACAACAACAAAATATGTGTTGTAAATTTTAATCTTGGTCTGTAATTTTATTCCAGTTAGGGATTGGGTTGTCTTTGTTGTGTTAATGTGGCAGGATTCATGCAGGACATTTCTTGGATCAAACTCTTTTTTGAGACCTGAAAGATTAAACAAACAAGTGAGAAACAGATGGGGGAAGAGACATGGCAAGCCACGTGAAGAACACCCAAGAAGCAGATGCTCAAAACACACAGGGACCTTCCACCCAAGCTGACAAGAGAGAACAACACTTCCCCTAGAGAGATGTACTGAATTTACATATTTAGCCTCCTAATCTGTGAGAAAATAAATTTCTGTTACAGCCAAAAAAGAAAAGAAGAAAGAAAATGCATATACTAGGGTCTTGCTTCCTTACTTCACTCCCAATTTTGACTTGTAGGTCTGGGGTGGACTTGGGAATCACATTTGGTTTTAACACATCACACTCCAGGTGAATCCCAGATTCCTGTGAGGAACACTTCATGGAGCCCGTCTGCAGAGTCCCCACTAGGACCAGTGAAGGAGCTGGTTGCGTGTTCCTAGAAGAATCATATGTTGCAGCAGCAGACTCCCTAAACCCAAATGCATCTCCTGTCTGCTTGTCACAGTGCCTAGAATGCCACCACGATCATCACTTCTCTTGAAAACAAGACTCCATGTCCCCCAATTTCCCAACTTTCTCTTCATTTCAATTCATTCCCCTGGGTATGCTATACAGAGAGGAAGAGAAACGGATTCTTACTAAGATGTGGGTGACTTAAGTGGTTCCTTCTCCAGATTCCTGATATCACCTCTTATTCAATAAGTCCAGCATCCAACCTCAAAAAAACCTGAATAGAGCTGGGGGGAGGGATAGGGAAAGTGGGTAGAAAAGAGCACAGCAGGATTTCAACACCATCTGTTGGAACACTGGCCTGGGTCCTTAAGGGGATTAAAAAATATCCCGGGGCAGTGAAGAAAGAATAAGAAGAGGGAAATTAGGACTAGAGCTCCTGGGAGCAAAGAGACTGGGGTGAAAGGTGTGCTCTGGAGTCACACAGATCATGATTGGAATTCATTCTGCAAGAAACTGTGTGACCTTAGAGAAGTAGCATAGCCTCTCTGTGGCCTTAGTTTCCTCACCTGTGATATAGAGGTCTGGATTTTTGATTAAATGAGAACATCCATGGGAAGCAGTGGAGGGCACAGTAAGTGGTTACGTTAGCTGTTCTAGTATCATTAATGGCTACTGACAAGATAGCTTCTAGAACCCAAACCAACCCCATGAAAACTCTTCTAAGTAAGAACTAGATGGTGCCCAGCTACCAATGCCAATTGCTCTGAAAGGGATCACATTATAGGGTCCTGGATAGAGCGGGAGAAAATGTGGAACAAAACTCAAAATTTATTTAATTAAAAAAAAAAAGAAGAAGAAGAAGAAGACAGGGTTTACTGGTCAGAAAGAGCCGGCAGGAACCTAACCCTCAACCATGCTTCAGGTCTGGAAAGGAACTAATCCTTGTGGCCCAATTTTCACCCAAGCAGTGGATAGGTTTAGAGAGGGGGACAACAACACTGGTGAGGAATGTTTACCACGAAATGGTTAATTATTCAAAATAAAAGGGCGACATTTTCCTACAGACAAGTTGAGAAGGGACAGGAAGGTGGGTGGTATGCAAATGGGACTTACAAGGAGGAAATGGGATAACTGTTGTTTCAAGGAGGGCAATGTAATCATTGAGATGGAATAAATGTGTGGTTTGTTTAATACAAAGCTGGTGATTTTGTTTGTAAACCTTCACTCAATTTACAATAAAACAAAACAAAAAGCCTTCTAAGTAGGAAGAGTTGACAGATCCTGGCACGGTTCTGAGTGTTTTGCATGCATTAATATGTTTACTCTTAATAATAAACCTAGGAGGGGAAAACCATCATTGTGCATATTTTACAGATGAGGAAAATGAGGCAAAAGAGCGACTAGATGCATGTTGAACAAGTTAATGAATGAAGAAACTTGAATAGGACCTAGGCACTCAATAGCTTGAGTTGTTCTTAAGTGTCATAGAGTTGGTTCTGACCTATAGTGAAAACCTGTATAGGGTTTTCAAAGAGCAGCTGGTGAGTTTGAACTGCTGACCTTGCAGTTCAAATCCGACCTTGCAGTCAAGTGCTTATGCTATAGCGCCACACCTAAAGCTCACAGAATCCTGAGGTTTCCTCTGCCTTGTTGCCCCCATGATGGATAGGCTATAATGTCCTGTCAATTCTGCCACTTAACATTTCTCTTCTAAGGTATTTCTCCTCCCCTTCCCTGCTCTCAGGCTTGGTTTAGGCTTTAACACCGCTCTCAGAAATTATTGCAGTGACCTCTTAACTGGTCTCCCAGATTCCCCATTCATCCAATTGTACTCTACACTGTTCTTTTGCAACCTAAATGTGCCTATGCTTTGAATTCTGCAAAAGTCCCCTGTTTCCTCTCCATGGAAACAAGCCCATGCTCTAGATTGGCCTCCAAAGGTCCTCACCCTTTGGCTCTCCCACATTCCCTCGTGACCCTGTTGCAAAAAATCTCAGGACACAGCAGATCCTTTCTTATCTTTGATACAAACTTTTCCCAGTCAGGGGCTCCTGGACCCTCTCCTTGCTGGCTTTCCCTCCTAGTTCATTTACAGATCTCTAATGAGTGCAGAGGAGTCCTGGTGTGGTCCTGTGGATTAATGCACCAGACTGCAAAGCCGTTTGAACTGCAAGGTTGGTGGTTCAAGTGCACCAGCTGCTCCTTGGAAACCCTATACAGGGTCACTATGGGTTGGAACCGACTCAATGGCACTTAACAACAACAAATGAGTGCAGAGGGGAGACAGGTGGAAGGCACAGGAAGAAGAGGCTTTGTAATTTAAACGGCATAGGCCAGTGAGTCATCTGGAACAAGGATGATAGTAACTGATAATGCACATTGTGTATGGTGTGGCACTGTAGGAAAAGCCATGAACTGCTAACCCACCAACCGCTCCTTGGAAACTCTATACCAGATCACTATGAGTCAGGACCGACTAGATGGTATTTAACAATTGTGTTTACCATGTGCTAAGCACTTTCTAAGGAGCCCTGAACTACTAACTGCAAGGCCAGCAGTTCGAATCCACCACTTCCTCCATGGAAGAAAGATGAGGCTTTCTGTTCCCATAAAGATTTATAGCCTCAGAAGCTCTATACAAGGTCGCTATGAATTGGAACCAACTCGTTGATATACAACCACCACCACCACTAAGCACTTCTGGGTATTTACTCCTCACAACAACCCAATGAGATACGGACATTATATCTCCATTTTGGTGGTGGTGGTTATGTGCCGTGGAGTCGGCTCCGACTCATAGTGACCCTCTACAGTGTTTCCGAGGCTGTGAATCTCTGCGGGAGTAGAACGCCTCAGCTTTCTCCTACGGAACAGCTGGTAGTTTCGAACTGCTGACCTTGCGGTTCGCAGCCTGATTCGTAACCACTTCACTAACTACCAGAGCTCCTTATATCTCCATTTTAGAGCTGAAGAAATGGTGTCACTGGTATTAGTGGTGAAGGCAGATGATCTGGGTGGCTTTTGTCCAGCACCTCTTTTCACCCTTTTTTACCCTACTCTGTCACCAACAATAACTGTCCCAGCAGATGTGAAGGGCTCCCTTCCCATTTAGTCTGCAGTTAAATTCGATCAATGGAAGGCACCAATAGGAGATCAGAGGGCAGAAGGAGATTGCCAAGTGGCTGTGCCAAGTAGCTGTGGGTTGGCACCATCCCCACACCAAAGTCCACAGCTCCTGTCAGGCAGATTTCTCCATAGCGCTTCTTTCTCTCTGGTTCTGGGGACTGGTTGGGATATGCCCTGTATTCTGCACTAGTTTGTTCGTTTCCTCAAACCCAGCTGCACCCTCTCCCCAAGCTAAGGTGTGTTATATGTTTCCTACCTGTTTACTCACTTAGGTGCTGTAGCCTGAGTGCTTTCCTAACCACCTTGATGTATTTACTGTAACCTCCCTGCAGTTGGGGGTTGGGACTGCAGAGAACAATTTCCATTGTCCTTTCCCTGGAGTGGAGCCCAACCCACTGGGGAGGTCAGAGTGGGGCAGTGTGCGTAGACATTGATGTACATAATGGGGTGCAGGTGCTTTGCAGGGCTCTGTGCTTGACTCAGGGGTGGGCCAGAGGAGAGAGGACTCTATAAAGGGATAATTCTACCTGGGAATTCACACATTTGAAAGAGTGGAGAGGGTATCTGCTAGGCACACAGGGAAAGAGAATGTGGCCATTTCAGAGAAATTCAGAAAGAGAGAATAAAATAAAGTGCTATTTTATAATGGCTGGTGTTTAGGAATTGTGTGAGTAGGTGTGCACTCCAGTGAGCCCTAGACCAATTAGGAGGGTTTTGAATGGGAAAATCTTTCCTGTGAATGAAGAAGTGTAAGTTGGAAAATTACTTGATTAGATTTATCTTTTACAGAAAGACTATTTCAGCAGCTGGTAGGGAGAATACCCTAGAAATGGGGAGACTAGAGTCTGGCTCCTGGGCAAAATATTGAATGATGTAGAAAGCATCAAAAGAAGATAGAAGGTATACATAGAGTGAATGTACCACAAGAAATGGTCAGTGTTCAGCCATTTCCAGAGGCAGCATATGATCAAGTGCTGATGGTACTGAAGGAAGAGTTCAAACTGCACTGAAGGTATTGGCAAAAACCAAGGTTCGAGATACAGTGGGAAAAATGATGAAAACTTCCTAGATATTATCAAATATCTTAAGGCAATGAGTTGCTGAGCCTGGGGGCTCAGGATCATAGTCTCAGGGACACCATGGTCAACTGGCATAACATAGTCCACAAACACAATGTTCTACATTCTGCTTGGGTGAGTAGCATTTTGTATCTTGAAAGTTCAAACTGTCTAAGGTACAGCTATTGATCTCTACATATGAGGGAGAAAGAAGAGTGATAGGAATTAAAGAGAATTGGAATCAGTCCAATGGACTCATGGAACATGTGAACATCAGTCACCACAACTCTGAGACCAGAAGAACTACAAGGGTGCCCAGCTACCACTATCAACTGCCCTGAAAGGGATCACATTAGAGGGTACCAGATAGAGTGGGAGAAAATGTGGAACAAAACTCAAAATTATTGAATTTTTTTTTTAAAGACCAGGTTTACTAGTTAGAAAGAGACTGGAAGAACCTGAGACTACAGTCCTCTACTACCCTTCAGGTCTGGAAAGGAACTCACTCTTATAGCCCAATTTTCAGCCAAGCAGTAGATAGGTTTATGGTGGGGACAACAACTTTGGCAAGGTATGCTCATCATGGAATAGTCAATCATTTAAAATTAAAAGGGCAACACTTTCCTAAGGACAAAGTTGAGAAGGAATTGGAAGATGGATGGAATGCAAATACAAACGTGTTTCATGGAGGAGGTTGGAATTACTGAGATGAAACAAAGTGTAGGATTTGTTGAATGTAAAGGT